TTATGGAAATAGTTTACAATTGTCCCCCTATGTGGTCAATAAACGTATTACCTTTTCGGTAAGATATACCACTTTTATTGGCTCTTTTTGTACTTATAAAATTGGCTTGTCCAATTTTTATCATCCAGGTGGCATTTCTAGTGGTCAGTAAAATAAAAGTCCAATACCAGGAAGGCCTCATCTCCTATCACAGGAGAGTGAAGGGCTATTTACACCTCTGCTAGTTAAACCATAAACAAGCCATTAGCACTATTGAGTTGTAGATGCAAAAGAGACTATTACAAATCTGGAGTCATTGGAACCAAGGATAGAAAAGACGTTTGTCATCGGTAAATTAAAGTGTGCTTCTGTTTTTCATACACTCTCTTCCCCAGCCATGGACCACTTGGATTGATTTGTCATTATTAACAGATAAGCAAATATACCATCTTAACTCTAATTATTTGCATGATATCGATCCATCTGCTTTGTGTCCAGACCTATGCTGGATGATAATACGGTGTCCTTATAGATTTCCACTTACTTGAATGCTGAAAGATTTATACGCCATACATTAGGAGAAAAAAACATTCATATCATTTGCACTTGACAGCGGTGACTGAATGCATTTCATTAGTGGGTCCTTACGGCTTTGGCAGCTCTCAAGGCCACAGTCATCACTGAGCAACATACACAGTGTGAAGGAAGAATTTCATACAACATACCCAATGTGAAAGAAGAGCTTTACTCAACATACCCAATGTGAAGGAAGAACTTCACTCAACATACCCAATGTGAAGGAAGAACCTCACTCAACATACCCAATGTGAAGGAAGAACTTCACTCAACATACCCAATATGAAGGAAGAACTTCACTCAACATACCCAATATGAAGGAAGAACTTCACTCAACATACCCAATATGAAGGAACAACTTCACTCAACATACCCAATATGAAGGAACAACTTCACTCAACATACCCAATATGAAGGAACAACTTCACTCAACATACCCAATATGAAGGAAGAACTTCACTCAACATACCCAATATGAAGGAAGAACTTCACTCAACATACCCAATGTGAAGGAAGAACTTCACTCAACATACCCAATATGAAGGAAGAACTTCACTCAACATACCCAATGTGAAGGAACAACTTCACTCAACATACCCAATATGAAGGAACAACTTCACTCAACATACCCAATATGAAGGAACAACTTCACTCAACATACCCAATGTGAAGGAAGAACTTCACTCAACATTACCCAATATGAAGGAAGAACTTCACTCAACATACCCAATGTGAAGGAACAACTTCACTCAACATACCCAATGTGAAGGAACAACTTCACTCAACATACCCAATGTGAAGGAAGAACTTCACTCAACATACCCAATGTGAAGGAAGAGCTTTACTCAACATACCCACTGTGAAGGAAGAACTTCACTCATCATACCAAATGTGAAGGTAGATCCTCACTCAACAAACCCAATGGGAAGGAAGGAACTTCACTCAACATACCCAATGGGAAGGGGAACTTCACTCAACATACCCAATGGGAAGGAAGAACCTCACTCATCATACAGAATGTGAAGGAAGAACTTTACTCATAAATACCGAATGTGAAGGAAGATCCTCACTCAACAAACCCAATGGGAAGGAAGAACTTCACTCAACATACCCAATGTGAAGGGAAACTTCACTCAATGTACCCAATATGAAGGAAGAACCTCACTCAACCTGCCCAGTGTAAAGGATTAACCTCATTCAACATACCCAATGGGAAAGAACCTGACTCAACCTGCCCAATGTGAAAGAAGAACCTCATTCAACATACCCAATGGGAAGGAAGAACTTTACTCAACATACCCAATGTGAAAGAAGAACCTCACTTGACATACCCAATGGGAAGGAAGAACTTCACTCAACATATCCAAAGGAAAAGAGGAATTTCACTCAACATACCCAATAGGAAGGAAGAACCTCACTCAACATGCCCAATGTGAAGGAAAAACTTCACTCAGCATACCAAAAGTGAAGGAAGCATTTCACCCAACATACCCAATGGGAAGGAAGAACCTCACTCATCATACCGAATATGAAGGAAGAACCTCACTCATCATACCCAATGTGAAGGAAGAATCTCACTCAACATGCCCAATGGGAAGGAAGAACTTCACTCAGCATACCGAATGGGAAGGAAACATTTCACCCAACATACCCAATGTGAAGGAAGAACCTCACTCAACATGCCCAATAGGAAGGAAGAATTTCACTCAACATACCCAATGTTAAGGGGAACTTCACTCAACTTACCCAATGGGAAGGAAAAACTTCACTCAACATACCCAATGGGAAGGAAGAATTTCACTCAACATACCCAATGGGAAGGAAGAACCTCACTCAATATACCCAATGTGAAGGAAGAACTTCACTCACTATACCCAATGGGAAGGAAGAACTTCACTCAACATACCCAATGGGAAGGAAGAACTTCACTCAACATACCCAATGGGATGGAAGAACTTCACTCAACATACCCAATGGGAAGGAAGAACCTCACTCAACATAAATAATAGGAAGGAAGAACTTCACTCAACATACGCAATAGGAAGGAAGAACTTCACTCAACATACCCAATGGGACGGAAGTACCTCATACCGAATGTGAAGGAAGAACTTCACTCATCATACCGAATGTAAAGGAAGAACCTCACTCATCATACCGAATGTGAAGAAAGAACCTCACGAATGTAAAGGAAGAACCTCATCATACCGAATGTGAAGGAAGATCCTCACTCAACAAACCCAATGGGAAGAAAGAACTTCACTCAACATACCCAATTTGAAGGGGAACTTCACTCAATGTACCCAGTGTGAAGGAAGAACCTCATTCAACAAACCCAATAGGAAGGAAGAACTTAACTCAACGTACCCAATGGGAAGGAAGAACTTCACTAAACTATTTATTTTTCATCACTTTCCCATTTTTTTCCACTAAGGATTGTAGGGTGTGGGTCTTCATGCCTACCCTGAAGGGGAAACACGTGTGGCCATTAGGTTCCTTCTTTCCCTGGCTTGTGGGGTCTCTCATTGGGAATGTCCCCAACTTAGTACCTGTTGCTCAGCTTTGGCAGATCATGAGGAGTGGGGTTCACTGGGCCTCTTGACTAAATGTACTTGAGTGTGCCTTTGTCCCCGTCAGGTGTTCTGCTCAGGGAAGGGACCTTCCTCTTCAGGAAGGAACTATTCGACACATCCTAAGTGCACTTTACCAAACTGCAGGCTCAAAAATGAAAAACAATATGGATGTACTTTCTCTCGAATGTCAGTACTTTTAAAGAGTTTTCTACCTGGATATGCTATATGCCCTACAAGCCTAACTAGATCTGTGTCTTTGTAGATATCTTAGCCGGTTCCCACTAGGTCCTCCAGTCATTGGTCCCTCTTAGGTGCCCTATATCGATTCAGCGACTGGGAGTGATGGTTCATATATCCCTTGTTGCTTTTACCTGGTTGCACTACTCAGAGTTTAGAATCAAACTCCACCTCTTCATGATAAAGCGGGCATCAGAGCTGGAGAAATGCCTTGAAGAACATTCCCATAACCCACCAAGTGTTATGATCCGCCAGGTGGTGCCTCCGGCTGCCCACTTGACAGACCTACCCAAAGCGTGGAGTCTAAGTCCCAGTCTGTGCTTTCACCAGGGCCCCTGATGGTGGGGATGGACTTGTAACAGACCAGGACCAGGTCACGACCTCTGAGCAGGCCCACCAGTGGCAGAGGGAACCTCCGGGGATGTATAGGTACCGGGAGAGCCAGATGTGAGGAGGACGGCGGGACCTAGCAGGATGGATCACGAGTAGTGGTCCCGTGGGGTAAGCGAGGTACAGAATCGGCAGGCGGAGAGTAGTCAGGTCACACGCAGGGTCAGCAGGATAAGTCAGTCCGCAGATAGGTCAAACAAGCTGGGGGTCAGGAGAGGAGAGGAGAATCCGGGCAGAGTAGTCAGGACAATCCGGGTCAAACACAGGAGAAGGCAGCGTAGTCAGGGTCAATCAGGGTCAAAATACAGCTACAGGAACTCAGGATCACAGATAGACCTTGACGCCATCTGTGACAGTGCAGGGCATCTTTAAATATTGCGCCCTGCACTGTCATTGGCCGTCCAGGACGCGCCCCCGGGCTGTCATTGGCCGCCCGAGGCGCACCCGCGTTCCTACTGCGCATGCGCGCGGCGTCCTCTCAGCTGCGGCCCGCCGGGACCTGGTGCTTGTGTCCCGGCGTGAGCCGCCGCTAGTGCGCGTGCGCCGGGAGAGGCGCCACAGTGATCCCTGACACCAAGGGGGTGATTCAGATATAGAATCAAGGAAAGCATAAAGGAACAAAGTGCGCTCTAGAATTTCTAAGCAAGTAAAAAGGCACTTAAAAAGGTAACAAGCAATTTTCTTTTTTTTTCTGCTATGCTATGTCAATGAGAAGATGAAACAAATGTAAATGAGGTGTTATCCCAGAACTGAAAGCAGAACTAAACTCTCTCAATCACATGAACTATTTGTAATCCTTATCCTGCTAGAATTAGTAAATAGATAGGAAGGAGATTATATTTGTTCTAAACTTCTTCTTTTTACATTTGTTAAGTTACTTCCTGGTTTGTGGCCTAGGCCAAAATGATGTCATACATCCCAGAAGTCCTCAGGGGAAAGAGGGGCTTTCTCAGTTAAACACCTGACTTTTGGGGGGATTTTTACTGTCCTGACATTTGGGTGGATTTTGTACCATCCTGACATTTGGGGGGATTTGTACCATCCTGACACTTGGGGGGGATTTGTACTGTCCTGACATTTGGGGGATTTGATTTGTACTGTCCTGACATTTGGGGGATATTGTACTGTCCTGACATTTGGGGGGATTTGTACTGTCCTGACATTTGGGGGGGGGGGGATTTGTGCCATCCCGACATTTGGGGGGGATTTCTACCGTCCTGACATTTGGGGGGATTTGTCCTGTCCTGACATTTGGGGGATATCAGTACTGTTCTGACATTTGGGGGGATTTGTACCGTCCTGACATTGGGGGGGATTTGTACTGTCCTGACATTTGGGGGGGATTTGTACTGTCTTGACATTTGGGGGGGGATTTCTACCGTCCTGACATTTGGGGGGATTTGTACTGTCCTGACATTTGGGTGGATTTGTACCATCCTGACATTTGGGGGGGGGGATTTCTACCGTTCTGACATTTGGGGGGATTTGTCCTGTCCTGACATTTGGGGGATATCAGTACTGTTCTGACATTTGGGGGGATTTGTACCGTCCTGACATTTGGGGGGATTTGTACTGTCCTGACATTTGGAGGGATTTGTACTGTCCTGATATTTGGGGGGATTTGTACCGTCCTGACATTTGGGGGGTATTTGTACTGTCCTGACATTTGGGGGGTATTTGTACCATCCTGACATTTGGGGGGGCTTTGTACGTCCTGACATTTGGGGGGATTTGTACTGTTCTGACATTTGGGGGGATTTGTACCGTCCTGATATTTGGGGGGGATTTGTACCATCCTGACATTTGGGGGGGGATTTGTACCGTCCTGACATTTGGGGGGGATTTGTACAGTCCTGACATTTGGGGGGGATTTGTACCGTTCTGACATTTGGGGGGGATTTGTACCGTCCTGACATTTGGGGGGGATTTGTACCGTCCTGACATTTGGGGGGATTTGTACCGTCCTGATATTTGGGGGGATTTTGTACCGTCCTGACATTTGGGGGGATTTGTACCATCCTGATATTTGGGGGTATTTGTACCGTCCTGATATTTGGGGGGATTTTGATTGTCAACATTTTAGGGCCTCAAGAAATTAGATCGGCCGTCAGTACATCAGGATTGATCGATTTTCAGATATACATCCCATAGTTCGTAGATTCTATAACCTTCACACAAACCAGTTAATATACAAATATTGGGATTTTTTGTACCAAATTATTGGGTATGTTTTATAACTAAAGGAGAAAATTTAGTTTTTTTATTTCAAAATAATCGGCCTTTTTTTCATTTATATCACAAAAAATAAAAAAAACCCCAGTGGGGATCAAATACCACCAAAAGAATGTTTTCTGATTATATGAAAAAAAAATGTATAAAAATGTAATTTGCTTCCAGTATCGCATCACCGCACAATTGTCAGTTAAAGTAGCGCAGTGCTGAGTAGCAAAAATGCCTCGGTCATGAAGGAGGTAACACCTTCCAGAGGTGAAGTGGTTATACACTGCAAAAAAAAAAACAACAAAAACCCTCCAAATGTGTGCTTGCTGAAAATACGGCGTAATCTACCTTCAAGCGATAGATGGACGCTGTATATATAAATGTGTGCCGTACTCCGCCTCTGTTTTCCTCCCGCCGGCGCACACTGTGCACGCCATTCTGTGAAATACATCAAACTTTTATACCTTTCCATGGCGGGCATCGTGGGGTGGAATCTGTCGGCTCCATCGGCAGAGCTCTATAATACGACCCGATCCGTCACAAACATTCTCCCAGCAACAATGAAGAGAAGATTATCATAAGAAAGGAATCCTTCTGACACGGCGACTTGACAGCCTCGCAGCAAAAGCCTGCAAAAGCCTCGCAGCAAAAGCCTCGCAGCAAAAGCCGCCGTTTGTGCGCCGAAGTTAAACATTCCGGGATCTATATTCATTCTCACAAGCAATTGATAAACATGGCAAACATTTCCAGAGCGGCGAAACTCCCATATATCACCGCCATCCATTCACACGCCAACCCAACGCACACAATAAATTATTAAAAGCTGTAAACTGGATCCTCTTTGCTTTTTTTTTTTATTAACATTTACACGGCATTTGCATCGCCTAAAGAATTTCATAATAATTCTCTGTATCTTATTATCCGGCTTGCTGGTAAGTAAGCGTTCCCTCACATCCAAGCAAAAGCGCATTTTCAGTTTCTGCCGACGTTTTGTAGTTCGTGCTTTAGCTATTTTTTTTTTTTTTGTGACTCCCCCCCCCCCCCCCCCCCAGAGGTGTGAGGGGGAAAAAATAAAAAGCAGCTTAGGCTGAAATGCTAACTTTCTATCCACATGGAAGAAAATATATTTAAAATATATTTTAAAAATATTCTTCCCAAAAAATTTACAATTACAATAAATAAATAAATAAATAAAATCAGTAGATAGATCATCACAAGACCATTTCATGGGAGCGATCTCTGAAATAAGGGAAATGGAATATCTTACGGCCTTGGAATGCATTTACAAATATATGGAAAATTACTTCTTATATATTTTTTTTAATATATAAAAAGTCATTTTTACATATATTTGTAAATGCATTCCAAAAATGTAGATTTGTATTTTTAAAGACATACAGTATATTTGAAATGTATTTTTTAAAAATATTTTTCATATATTTTGTATTAAAAACGCATTTCAACATACAGTATAAGTAATGTATATATGTGTGTGTGTGTGTACAGTTGCAAGAAAAAGTATGTGAACCCCTTGGGATTACATGGAGTTTTGCATGAATTGGGCATAAAATGTGCTCTGAACATCATCTAAGTCACAACAATAGAAGAACACAGTCTGCTGAACATAATACTACACAAACATTAGATGTTGCCATGGTTTAATTGCACATAACATGTAAACATTCACAGTGCAGGGAGGAAAAAGTATGTGAACCTTTGGACTTAATAACTGGTTGACCCTCCTTTGGCAGCAATAACCTCAACCAAACGTTTCCTGTAGTTGCAGATCAGACCTGCACAACGATCTGGAGTCATTTTGGACCACTCCTCTTCACAAAAACTGTTTCAGTGTAGCAATATTCTTGGGATGTCTGGTGTGAATCGCTCTCTTAAGGTCATGCCACAGCATTTCAATGGGGTTGAGGTCAGGACTCTGACTGGGCCACTCCAGAAGGCGTATTCTGTGCTGTTGCAGCCATTGTTTTGTTGAATGACTTGTATGCTTTGGGTCATTGTCCTGTTGCATCACCCATCCTCTGCGGAGCTTCAGAATGCTGCGGACAGATGGTCATACGTTTTCCTGCAAAATGTCTTGATAAACTCTGGAATTCATTTTCCCATCAATGACAACAATCCGTCCAGCCCTGAGGCAGCAAAGCAGCCCCAAACCATGATGCTCCCTCCGCCATGTTTCACAGTGGGGATGAGGTTTTGATGTTGGTGTGCTGTGCCTTTTTTTCTCCACACATAGTGTTGTGTGTTCTTCCCAAACAACTCAATCTTGGTTTCATCTGTCCACAGTATATTCTGCCAGTAGTGCTGTGGAACATCCAGGTGCTCTTTTGCAAACTTCAAACGTGCTGCAATCTTCTTTTTGGACAGCAATGGCATTCCTCCGTGGTGTCCTCCCATGTACTCCATGCTTGTTTAATGTTTTCCTTATTGTAGATGTGTCAACAAAAATGTTAGCATGTGCCAGAGATTTCTGTAGGTCTTTAGCTGACACTCTGGGATTCTTCTTTACCTCATGCAGCATTCTGCGCTGTGCTCTTGCAGTCATTTTTACAGGACGACCACGCCTAGGGAGAGTAGCAACAGTGCTAAACTTTCTCCATTTGTAGACAGTCTTTCTTACCGTGGACACATGAACATCAAGTCTTTTGGAGATACTTTTGTAACCCTTTCCAGCTTCATGCAAGTCAACAATTCTTGATCGTAGGTCTTCTGAGAGCTCTTTTCTGCGAGAGCATGGTTCACATCAGACAGTGCTTCTTGAAACCAGTAAACCCAAAACAGGTGTCAGCAACACATCCAACATCCAATATCATCACACTGATTGGAGTCAAGGTTGGCTCACTCCTGGCTCCAATTAACTCTGGGAGAAGTCATTAAGCTAGGGCCTCACATACTTTTTCCTCCCTGCACTGTGAATGTTTACATGTTATGTGCAATTAAACCATGGCAACATCTAATGTTTGTGTAGTATTATGTTCTGCAGACTGTGTTCTTCTATTGTTGTGACTTAGATGACCTTCAGAGCACATTTTATGCCCAATTCATGCAAAACTCCACGTAATCCCAAGGGGTTCACATACTTTTTCTTGCAACTGTATATATATATGTATGTATATATATAATATATATATATATATATATATATATTTTTAATTGAAATATATTTTGAAATATATTGAACCCAGAAGACAAAGGCCATAGTGTGAGTACAATGCACCATGGACCCATACCAGGAGGAGATGTCACCACGGTGCTCTACACAGGGGTGCTGTTAGAAACCATGGGGCCCCATACAGCCAACCTGAAAGGGCATCACCAAAAAAAAACCCCAAAAACACACAGTTTACTAGACTTCAGTTATGAATGAACACAGTGAGTGATCAGTACTGATCACTCATTGTGTTCATTCAGGAAAGGAAGGAACTGGTTAATGTGACATAATTATCGGACCCTGCCCCCACTCTCCATCCTGAAGGGTCCTATTGTGTGCTTGTAGCTGCCGGTGGGAAAGAGAGGAGGGAAGCCGGCACTGTGGGGACCCAGACAGCTGGGTGAATCAGATGTGCACAGGGAGGGTGATTGGCATGCTGGACAGAAGGGGGGGGGCAATTACTAGAACCTGGAGAGGAGAATAATCCAGCTTTTAGATGCTGCACAGTGAGCTATACAGGGGATCAGTTCCAGTAATTGCCCCTTCACCATGCAAAACACCCTTCCGGTCCACATCCAATTCACCCAGCTACCTTGGCCCCCCTGCTGGCCTGGGCCCCATACAGGAGGACTGGCGGTACCCCCTTATCCACAGCCCTGGCTCTACACTCACTGGAGTTGATTTACTAAAGGGCAAATAGGCTGTTCACTTTGCAATGGGAAAGTCCCCAGAGCTTACTGAGTGCAGAGAAGTTTCATTTTGGAAAGATTACCCAATAGGTGCAAAGAAAAATAGTGGATAGTGGGGTACCACTAGTCCTCCTGTAGGGGGTACCACTAGTCCTCCTGTAAGGGGGTACCACTAGTCCTCTCTGTATGGGGGTACCACTAGTCCTCCTGTAGGGAGTACCACTAGTCCTCCTGTAATGGGGTACCACTAGTCCTCCTGTATGGGGGTACCACTAGTCCTCCTGTAAGGGGGTACCACTAGTCCTCCTGTATGGGGGTACCACTAGTCCTCCTGTAATGGGGTACCACTAGTCCTCCTGTATGGGGGTACCACTAGTCCTCCTGTAGGGGGTACCACTAGTCCTCCTGTAAGGGGGTACCACTAGTCCTCCTGTATGGGGGTACCACTAGTCCTCCTGTAGGGAGAGTACCACTAGTCCTCCTGTAATGGGGTACCACTAGTCCTCCTGTATGGGGGTACCACTAGTCCTCCTGTAAGGGGGTACCACTAGTCCTCCTGTATGGGGGTACCACTAGTCCTCCTGTACGGGGGGTACCACTAGTCCTCCTGTAAGGGGGG